GCCCGGGATCCGAACCCGGGCCGCCAGAAGCGGAGCGCGCGCACTTAACCGCTAAGCCACGGGGCCGGCCCTGGAGCTGGGATTTGAACCCAAGTCATCTGGTTCCTGAGTCTTAGAGGGAACTGGGGCTCTGAGATCTTAACTCCTCCAGAAGAAGGTCGTAGTTGCTCGTGGGTTTAGAGGAAAACAGGCCTGGGTTTGAATCCTGACCCCCTACTACCTAGCTGTGTGACCTTGGGAAAGTGACTTCACCTCTCTGAGCCTCCACTCTCTCATTTGTAAAATGAAGTTGGTAATAATGTTATTATCTACCTCACAGGGCTGCTGTGAAACTAAAATGTGATACATACACCTTGGTTGTTACTTTGGTGATTGTTAACTGTTACCCCGGCTCCGAGCCTGGCTCCTTACATCACCAGCCGGCATGGATGCCTAAGGGCAGGGCCCTCTCCAGCGATCTGTGTCTCATAGGGTCAAGTCCTGCTGCCAGCTACGAGGAGGAGGAGCTGCCTCCTGACCCCAGTGAGGAGACGCTCACCATAGAAGCCCGATTCCAGCCTCTGCTCCCGGAGTCCATGACCAAGAGCAAAGACGGGTTCCTAGGGGTGAGTTGGGGAAGGGGGGACCCCACAGATAGGACCACACATAGGAGGATCATCTGTGGGCACTCGCCTCCTGAGAATAGGTCTGTGCCCTATTCAAGTTTCCTTCTTTCTCTCCTTCCTCCCTCTATCAGCTGCCCTCTGTGCACCCAGTGTGCCAGGCCCTGGGGGTGCAGAGTGGGTGCAGTGCTGTCCCTGCTGTCCAGGCACAGTCTGGTGAGGGAGGCAGGAGAGACAAGCGTGAGCCTCTAAACCAGATAGGGGATCTGGGAAGGCTTCCTGGAGGGAGCGACATCTGACAGAGACTGCAGGGGAGGAGGGCCTAGTCAGGTGAGGGCAGGGGTAGGAAGGACTGGTTGGAGGAAACAGCAAGTGCACCAGAGACGTGTTGATGCAGCCGCCTCCCTTACAGTGGTCACTGTCTGCCAGTCTGTCTTCTCCCCCAGGCTATGAGTATCTTGAGGGCAAGGCCTGTGTCCCCCACATTTGTGCATCCCCAGGCCCCCGGCACGATGCCTGGCACCTGACAGGTGCTCTGTTGAACTGCGATGAACTGGACCTGAGATTCAGCCCCCAGCAGAATGTATGGGGTGGGGAAGGCACCTGACAGATGCTGTGCTAACCAGTCCCACCCCCACCAGAGGCCCTGTGGACAACGCCTCAAGCCCATCACGGGGCCCAGGCTTCCCCAGACCCTGCCTGCCTCTCCTGCCCCCCTCCACCGTCTCCTCTTGGCTTTCTCCATTCCAATCACTTCAGACGTCCAGGCTGTCTTCCAGCGGTGGGCCTTCTCAGATGCTGTTCCCTCCGCCAGGAACAGCATTTTCTCTCTACCCAGCTCACACCTACTCAGCCTTTACATCTCAGCTGAAATGTCACTTCACGTGAACAAAGGCCTGAAGGCAGAAAGTGCCAGGCCGGTCAGCCAAGGGCAGGGAGCTGGTGTGGCTGAACCCAGGGCACGTGGGACACATGCAGGGGCGTCCTGGTCAGGGGGGCTGGCAGAGAAGTTGCCCCAACACAAAGGGCTTTGGTTGCCTGACTTTCGCCTTCATTCTGCAGCTGCAAATTACCATCGCCGATGTTGAAATCGGAGAGTTCCCTCATGAGATCTGTTTCCAGGCTGGCAGCTGGGGAGACATAGGAGGCTTGAAGGCCAGTTCCCAGGAGTGGGGAGGGGGCAGTGGTGATGGAGAGGAGGGACAGCCTGGAGGATGCGGGAAGGGAAGGAAGGCAGGGCGTGGCTACAGCGGAAAGTGGTGGGAGGGGAGTCGGGGTGACTCAGGCTCCTGGCTGGTGACCAGGTGCCTGGTGGGCCGTTTGCCCAGACAGGGACTGGAGGCAGGTAGGGGGTCTGGTGGAGAGGGAACGAGGCCCGTTTGGACTGTGGAAGTTGAGGTGCCTGGGGGATGTCCAGGAGGAGATCCACTAAGCGGTTCAAAACACAGGTTTGACCTTCCGTGGAAGGATCTGGGTGGAGATGGGTTTGACAGCGATGGTCCTGGAGTGGTGGTTGAAGCTGTCGGAGCAGATGAGTCCCCTGCAGAGCAGTGAGAACAGGGTGGGGCAGGTGCCGGGAGATGAGTCAGGAGCAGCTCCCCCAGCCCTGGCCTCCCTAGCAGAGCCCCACAGAGTGCAGCCCCCCTTTGCAGGCAGCCCCCTGCAGGGCTCGCCAGCCTGTGAGCGGGACCCAGCGGGCGGGAGGCCCTGCCTGGCCCTGCACAGCCAGCCCTGCTTTGAGAGCCAGCCTGTTAAATCTCTCGTGGTGGGAGCTCCCTGCCCCTCTCTCCTCCCGCCCCCACTTCCCACCGAGCCTGGGCCCCCACCGCCCTGGAGGTGGGGAAGGGACAGGGGACCTGCTGGTGTCAAAGACTGGGGCAGCTCCCTGGGGGCTGAGCTCCCTGAGGGGTGCCAGGCACTCCCTGTGCTGGTGGCTGATGCCTCAGCAGACACAACTCCTGCCCGCAGCCCAGAAGGACAGGGAGGAGCTGCTGAAGGAGGAGCTTCTACCAGGGACCTGCACGCACAGGGTCCCGCTGCTGTGCTCCGGACAGATGTGCACACAGGCCTGCACAGGGTCTGAGCCTCACTCTCTGCTGCCCATCAGCCCGTCAGACAGCAGCGAGGCAGATTACTGAGGAGACAGCTTAGGGAAGCCCGTTGGCCCGGGGTGCCCAGCCGGTGTGGCGCAGGCGGTACTTGAAGCAGGGCACTCTCTGGGGTAGCCTGCCTTCCCCTCCTCTGTGGTCTCATCCTGTTCTTGACCCTAGACCCAGAGATTTCACCCAAAAGGTGGCTACTGCCTCCCTGCTCAGACAACTTCAAACCCAAACTCTGACTCGTCAGTGGGACATTAGCCGCGGGGAGGAGCCTTGGAGGGGGATTGGGGAGCAGAAAGCAAGGTGGGTGGAGGGGGCAGGGCTGTGGCACTGGTGTTGGTCTGCTGGCCTATGCAGAGGAAGGAGGCAGGACCATGTGGGGCCTGCTCTGGCCTGAGTGGGCCGCAGTGGCACTGCTTCTCAGGCCGGGGGCTGGGGAGAGGGAGATGAGCCTCTGCTCTGGCAGAACGGTGCCAGGCCTGTGGCGTCACCAGGGCAGGAGCCTCCCCTGGTACCTCTGCTCCATCGGCTTTCGGGCTGGCCCAGGGCTCAAGGGAGACTGCCACCCATGCACAAGACGGGACCCCAAAATCATGGTTCTCAGCGCCTCAGAGCTTCGGCCTTCCCTGCCCCAGGTCTCCCGCCTGGCCCTGTCTGGCCTCCGCAACTGGACGACCGCAGCCTCGCCAAGCGCTGTGTTTGCCGCCCGCCACTTCCAGCCCTTCCTCCCGCCTCGGGGCCACGTGGAGCTGGGCGAGCCCTGGTGGATCATCCCCAGTGAGCTGAGCGTCTTCACCGGCTATTTGTCCAACAACCGCTTCTACCCGCCACCGCCCAAGGGCAAGGAGGTGAGGGCAGCCCCAGGGCCCTGCGCCCCAGCTCAGGCCCAGCCCCTCCCCCTCTGCAGCTGGACCCCCAGTGCCAGGCCTGCCCCACCTGCTCTCCTGCCTCTCTCTGGACCCACCCTGCACCCTAGGCCCCTGGGCCAGCAGGTCCAGAGCTGACCCTCACCTAGGGGAGCAGAGCCCAGCAAGCCAGCCTGGGGTCCCACGGCCCTCCCCACAGGTCATCATCCACCGGCTCCTGAGCATGTTCCACCCGCGGCCCTTCGTGAAGACCCGCTTTGCCCCTCAGGGGGCCGTCGCCTGCCTGACTGCCATCAGTGATTTCTACTACACCGTGATGTTCCGGTGAGTGGTCCTCGCAGCCCCATCCTGTGTCCCACCCGGGCCTGGGACTGCCTGGCAGCATGGAGGGGCACAGCTCCAGGAGGGCAGGGCTGGACTGGGAGCCCCCAGCCCCACCACTCACCACCCTGTGGTCTCGGGCAAGCAGCCTTGGCTCTCTGAGCCTCAGATTCCTCATCTGTGGATCCGGGTGGTGGTGACTTCCTCCCAGGAGGAAGAGAAAAGGCCTAGGACGGGGCTAGTGGCCGTGACTGTCATCCACACAGAAAGGGGTGTATAAGAGCTGTGACACCAGGTCACACACACCCTCGAGAGCTCAGGCTGTGAGAGCTCAGAGGAGAGTCAGGAGCACGTGAACCGGGCCCTGAAGGACGGGCAGCGCTTGGAGGGCCTCGTGCCTTCTCCCTGCCCAGCCCTCTGCCCATACAAGTCTGGCCAAGGGTTCCCAGCTTTGGGGCAGAAGCGGGAGGGCAGGCTCGGGCTCAGCAGGGCTGCTCCCCACCGGCCCTTCCCCACAGCATCCACGCCGAGTTCCAGCTCAGCGAACCACCCGACTTCCCCTTCTGGTTCTCGCCCGGCCAGTTCACCGGCCACATCATCCTCTCCAAAGACGCCACCCATGTCCGTGACTTCCGGCTCTTCGTGCCCAACCACAGGTGGGAGCCCCGGCCCCAGCCCCGGCACCTGCTAAAGTTTGCCCACCATCAGCTCCAGGAGCTCAGATGCAGGGGCCCAGAGGCCCCCTCAGTCTCTGCCTCTCCTTTGTTCCCCAGAGCCACTTCTCTTGGTGGGCAGCCTGGAGCTGACCCAGGAGGAGGCAGCTCGAGGTGGGCTGAGGGGAGTCATTTCATCATGTGACAGGCATGTCCCCGGCGTTGTGTGGGCCTGGCCTACCCAATGCAGCAGCCAGATGATGACCCTGAAGCTGGAACCTCCCTGGCCTCATACCGCTGACAGACCCCCGACAGGCCTGTAACCAGGGCCTGCTCATGCCTCCCTAGGGGAAGGCCAGCAGGTGGGCAGGGACCTGGCTGATCGGGGTCTAGGAAGTCTTTCCAGAGGAAGGGACATCTAAGTGGAGGCCTGGGGGGTGAGGAGGCTTTAGCCAGGCAGAGGGGAACAGCACATGCAAAGGCCTGAGGCAGGTCCTCCACCACCTGCAGCTGCTACAGTGGGGGAGGGGGGACGCTGGGTGGGCAAACGGGCGCTTCTGGGGGATTAGTTGATGCCAGCCACCTGCCTGCCTGACCTGCTCAGGGTCAGCCTCTTGTCAGGGAGCAGGGGACTTGGAGGCCCTGGCCTCAAGTCTTTCCAGATTCCTCCCTGACAGCAAGTGGCTACTTAGTGGGCCTGAGTGACTGCACAGGGACAGAGCCTGGGCTAGGAGCTGGGAGGCCCATGGTTAAGTCGCGGCTGTGGCACCAGTGGACTGCGTGGCTGTGGGCAAAGCCCTGGCTCTCAGTTTCCTCATCTGCTGGATGGGAGGCTGACTCCTGGGCAGCAGTGAGGGGATGGTTGGGGTAGCCAGGGAAAAGAATGTCGCCCCCTTGAGCAGGAGTGGTTTCCTCTCACTCTCTGGAGGGAGGGAGCATCGTGGGCCACAGGGAAAATGAGGAGGAAGGACAAAGAAGGGTGAATTCTACTCCTCCTGCCTCCTCCCCAAGCAAGCACCTGTGCTCCAGGCACATCTGCCTCCACTCCAGGGTTGGAGGTCGGGGGTCCTGGACTGGATGGAGCAGAAGGAGAGGGCAAATGACCAGCCCCAGGACCAGCTGCTCCTAGGCCTTTGTCTCAAGAACAGACCACAGGGACTGCTGAGGGCAGCTCACCCCGGGTGGCTTCACCTCTCCCAAGGTGGTTGGTTGCCAGTCCTGGGGTGCCCCCGTGTGGCGGATCTGCAGATCGCACCTGATAGGGCCAGACTTCCCACTGGAGAGGGAGTGGAGGCCAGCGCAGGGAGGCCAGTGCTGGGTTTCCCTGCCCCACCCTGTCCTGGGGAGGCGCTAATGACCTCTGCCTCAGAATCACAGGTCGTGGGCCCTACACGAGACGTGGATGTGAAAACCCTCTGGGAACTGTAAAGGGCAGGGCTGGTGAGGGTGGTGTGGCCACAGTGCCTGAGGAAGGGGCAGCCCTGGAGGGGAAGGGGCCCAGGCTCTGAGGCCTTGCATTCACCTAGCCAAGCCTCAGTGTCCTCATCTGTAAGGTGGGTCAGTTGTGCGCTTTCAGCGAGGTAAAGTCTGACACGTGGTTAACGGGCCTTGATGATGGTGGGGTTCTGCCCTGGCTGCCCTTACCTGCCCGCAGGTCTCTGAATGTGGACATGGAGTGGCTGTACGGGGCCAGTGAGAGCAGCAACATGGAGGTGGACATCGGCTACATACCCCAGGTGAGCAACAGGTGGTCCCTACCCAGGTAGGAAGGTGGGGCTCGGCTGCAGGGCCCTGTCGCAGGGCCTCTCAGCCTGGCTGCAGGGAGGGCCCCGCTGGCTAGGAGCCTCAGGGCAGTCCAGGGTGAAGGACAGAGCTCCTGGAAGGCCGAGGCCAACTGTCCCCAAAGCAGGATTCTGAGAAGCCCCCTGTTCCTGCACTCAGAGCCCATCTGCCACAGGCCTTCAGGTAGCTCACGCAGGCAAGGAGCCCTGGCTGGACGCTGGTCTGTCCCGGACTCACTGCATAACCTTGACCAGGCCCTGCCCTTCCCTGGGCCTCAGTCTCCCCAGCTCTGCAGTGAGGGAGTATCTTCAAGGGTGTCTCAGGGCCCCTTGAGGATTCTTGCCCGTCTCTGGGACATCCCTCACTGATGTCATCCCTTGCCAACCTCTGGCCCAGATGGAGCTGGAGGCCGTGGGCCCCTCCGTGCCCTCCGTGATCCTGGACGAGGATGGCAACATGATCGACAGCCGCCTGCCCTCAGGGGAGCCCCTCCAGTTTGTGTTTGAGGACATCAAGTGGCAGCAGGAGCTGAGCTGGGAGGAGGCTGCCCGGCGCCTGGAGGTGGCCATGTACCCCTTCAAGAAGGTGAGGCTGCGCAGGGTGGGGCAGGTCAGGCTCCGTGGGGCTGGGGCGGGGACTCTGGGACCAGCAGGTGGGCACAGGGCGCTGGGCTCTGTGCACGGCTTGCTGCTGAGGCTGCCTCCCTGCAGGGCCCAGCCTGGTGCCAGGGGGAGCCTCCCCTTGGCCATCAGGACTTGGAGGAGGCATCTCCTGGTTCAGCAATACCCCTTCATACACACACACATACATGTACACACACACACTACAAGCACCTACACACACACACACACACACACACATACATACAGTACAAACACACATACACACTTACACTACACACACATTACACACTGAGCACCCTGCACGGGACCCTGGCCGCACACAGTAGCTTCTCTCTGTCTCTGCGTGGCCCCAGGTCACTTACTTGCCGTTCACCGAGGCCTTTGACCAAGCCAAGGCCAAGAACAAGCTGGTGCACTCGATCCTGCTGTGGGGGGCCCTGGACGACCAGTCTTGCTGAGGTAAGGGAGACCCCACCAGTCCGAGGGGAGAATGGGGAGACTTCACGCCTTGTGGGGTACAGAAGGCTCTGAGACCAGCAGGACTGTCCTGTTGGAGCGTGAGGGACTCGGGGCTACGGAGGGCAGGGGTGTGCGGTGAGGGCTTGGGGGTTAATGTGCTGAGCTCAGAGAAAGCTGCTGGGCACAGCAGAAGGAGCCCAGCTCAGCCATTTTTAGCTTCGAGACCTTGGCCAAGCGACTTCCCCTCCCTGAGCCTCAGTTTTCTCAACAGTAAAAGAGAGGTAACATACCAGCCAGAGTTGTGAAAATGCCTGTGCTCTGTAAAGTGTGGCACACAAGTGAGAGAAAAAATAGTGCCAGAGGCTGGGCGTGCCTTCACTTAGAAAATTCACCAAAGACCTGCTGGGTGCAAAGTTCTTTGGGTGTCTGACAATGGGTACGAAGATGAGTAAAACAATGCCCTTGCCTTCATCCAGTCAGTCAGCAAACATCCTGGGCACCTCCTGTGCCAAGCTATAGGCTAGGTGCTGGGAGTCTTGCAGTGAGGAAGTCAGAAATGGTCCCTGTCCTCAGGGAGCACACATTGTGTGCAGAAGGCAGACATTGAATGAATAAATACAAGTGTGGTGAGTGTCCCACAAGGCAAGGTCCAAGTGGCATGAGAGTGTGTAACTAGGGGGGTCAGGAAAGTCTTCTTAGAAAAGGTGACATTTAAGCTGAGACTTTGAAGGATGAGTAGGAGTTTGTCAAGAAGAGTGTTTTAGATAGAAGAACAGTCTGTGCAAAGGCCCTGGGGCACAGAGTTTAGTGGATTTATGAAGCTGTCACTGTCTACAAGTCCCTGGGCCGGGTAGACCCCCACCCCAAATCTCGCCGAAGATGCCAGTATGTTATTGATGTTAATTACAGCTACCATTTATTCAGCACCTACACTTGTGGCAGGTTCTTTGAATCTGTTATTTTACCTGGGTGCACAGACCATTCTACAGTCCATGAGGTTTATGCTGATGGAAAACACAGCAAGATATGTGGGGTGCCTCACTCTTCTGGCCTTGCCTCTCCTTGAACAGGTTCAGGGCGGACTCTCCGGGAGACTGTCCTGGAAAGTTCGCCCATCCTCGCCCTCCTCAACGAGAGCTTCATCAGCACGTGGTCCCTGGTGAAGGAGCTGGAGGACCTGCAGGTGAGTGGCAGGTGGGCGGGAATAGCCCCATGGGAGCTCCTGGGACAGTGCTGGGGCTGAGACACCAGGAGTGTGCCCAACTGTCCCCACAGGACAACCAGGACAACCCATCCCACAAGAAGCTGGCTGGCCTGCACCTGGAGAAGTACAGCTTCCCCGTGGAGATGATGATCTGCCTGCCCAATGGCACCGTGGTAGGCAACTCCCGCCGCCTGTACCCAGGCCTGGGCCCGGCACTGTGGGCCAGAGGAAGCAGCAGGCAAGGGGCACAGACTTGCAGACCTCGTCAGGCTTCGGGTCTGGCTCCACTACCTCGTGGCTGGTTTCTCAGTCACTCGGAGCCTCAGTTAGCCTCATCTATCAAATAGGGATTGTGGTGCCCGCTCTGCCTGCCCTGTGCCGGTGTTGGGACGCTCCCGCGAGAAGAGGGACCTCAACAGCACTCTGGGGACCAAAGTGGACAGGAACATGGCCTGGAAGGGAAGGCTCACTTTGGACCATTGTGACCAGCCCTAGGATGGAAGGAGGAGGGAGGGCCAGGCCTTGTGACGGGCAGAGAGAACCAGGGGAGCCCCCAGGCCAGGCCAAGCATCAAGACTCTGCCTCTCCTTAAGGGCCCCTTATGAGCACTCACACATGCCTTCTCATTGGATTCTCACTTCAGCTTTGGGAGATAGATATCACGAATGCCCATTTTACAAACAAGGAAACTGAGGCTCAGAAAGGTCCCGAGACTTGGCACAAGTTGCATAATTAAGAAGTGTAGCTGGTTTTGAAGCCCGAGTCTCCCACTCTGCTGAGCGAAGCTGCCCCTTATCCTGTAAGTCCCAAGGGACGTGAGTGTGGGACTGAGGCTGTAGGAGGGTGGGCAGCTTCCCAGGCTCTCAAGGGGAGGCGGGTCCAGGAGCAAGAGCTGAGGCTGGCCTGGAAGAGGTGTCCCATGAGGGCTTGGTGGGGAGAGGGGCACCAGCCGGGAGGCTTCTGCTGTCTCAGTCTCAAGGTGACGAGAATGGGCCCTGGAGTATCGGGGAGCCGGGGGAGGAAAGGCCTGGGGGAGAGGCAGCCAGCTTGCACTCGTCCACTGGTGCCCAGCGTGGTGGAGCCAGGCCAGGCAGGCCCGGGGATCACGGAGCTGGCAGACAGAACTTGCCGGGGGGACTGTGTCTGGCCTGCACTCTCCCACTCGCTTGTTGATTTGTTTGTTTGCTCGTTGTTTGTTTACCAGGCCCCTGCCCTTAAGGAGCTCACTCACTGGAGCGAGAGGCGGATGGGGAAGCGGGTCCATCGAGTGGGTGGCATTTTGACAGCAGAGAGTGCGGAGCTCAGGGCCCAGGGCAACTGAGGAGAAGAGGAGTCATGGTGGGGGTGGGGGTGAGGAAAAGGTGATATTGAAAGGCATTCGGTTTTCGCCTAGTGGACGAGGTGCGGAAGAGCTCTGTAGTCGGGGGTCCCACATGAGCAGAGGCTGGAGAGGGGCACGGCCCTGCAAGTGCTCATAGCTGCCCTGCCTGTCTGCCGTCCACCTCAGAGCGAGGACAGTCGAGGCCTGAGAGTGACCATTTCTCCCAAGAGAGTACGAGCAGACAGGGAGCAGAGGGGGCACTGAGCCTGGACAGGCCCCCTGCGCTCCTCACTCAGCCCTTCTCCCAGGTCCACCACATCAACGCCAACTACTTCTTGGACATCACCTCCATGAAGCCTGAGGACATCGAGAACAACGTCTTCAGCTTCTCGTCCACTTTTGAAGACCCGTCCACGGCCACTTACATGCAGTTCCTGAAGGAGGGCCTTCGGCGCGGCCTGCCGCTCCTCCAGCCCTAGTGTGCCTGCCAGGCCAGTGAGAAGCCAGGCTGGATGGGGGAGCTGGAAAGTCAGACCTGCAGCGCTGGTGGATGCGCCCCTCCGCCCCAGAGCCAGTGGTCCTTGCACATTTCAAACTTCAGACACTCCCACCCCTGCCACTCCCAGGCTGCCTGTGGGGTCCGAGGTCAACCAAGGGTGGCCATCCTAGCTTTGCCTCAGTGATGCGGGGTAGACGGGGGTCCTTGGGCTAACCAGGACGACGCACCTCTAGCTCTGGCTGCCATTGTCAGCTCTTTACTACCCACCTGGCTCCAGAAGCTTCTTGAGACCCCCAAAACAGGGCCTGGGGTCATTTCCATGGACCTCACCCACTCAGATACATAGTGCAGGCCCTTGTGGGGTGAAGAATAGGGAGGAGTGGGTGCCAGGAAGACACAGCCACCCCTCTCTCTTTATTGTCGCCCTCCTCCCAAAAGAAACATCAAGAAGCCCTGGCCTGGGTGGGAAGGGGGTGCCAAGGAAACACTCCTGTTAGTCTGGAGCCTTCTTCCTGGCCACAGCCCTGGCTGCCCTCCTGTGCCTAGTGTCCCCAGTGGGGTCAGTCTCAGCTGGAGACAGCCTTCTGGACGCTCTGGGCAGAACCCTCCTTCAGAAGGGGAAATCATACTGTACCCGAGACCTCGGCTCCCCAGACCACTCAATCCTACTAATGAGAGGACCCCAGAACCTATGTCGGGACTTGCTGGGGGCCAGCTGTCTGGGGAGGTTTACTGTGAAGTTGGCTTCTGCCCTGAGCAAGGGAGTCCCCTGAGGGGTCCCTGAGGTGCAGGGCCCAGGCACCTCCCCCCAGCACAGGGTCCCAGGAGAGCTGCTGGAGCCAGTGCAGTGCCTCCCACCCTGGGACCCAGCTCCACACAAGTGCAGCCCAGACCAGTCTGTCCACCACTGGGTGGCCGTTGACCCTCCTTGGCCATTCTCGGGGCCTTGGTCCATGTCCTGAGCCACTCACCACGGCCAGTCTCTTTTTATACATGCAGAAAAGTGTTTTTATGTGAACTTTCTCACAGTTTGTAGGTATTTTTGATAACCCCAGCGCTGAGGAGAAAGAAGGGGCAATGGCTTTCCCGCAGCTGCCCCATGATGGCTGGATCTGAAATCCTGGATGGATCCAGCTTGATGTCTTTGCAGTTGCACCTATGGGAAGAAAGAGTCCTCTCTTCCTTCTCCTCTTCCAGCTTTTTAAAAACAGTCCTCAGAGGGTCAGTGTACCCCCAACCCTACCCTTGTCCTCCTCTCCAGCCCTCGAGAGGCCCTTGGGCTCTCAGTAAGGCCTTGGAGCCAATCCTGCTCCCCCACCCCGCAGGGGCTCACTCTCACACCTGGCAGAGGAGGCAAAGCAGACATTTCCTCAGATGCACTCCCGGGCCTCCCATCCGCCGAGTTCCCCTGCCTGCTGCTGCAGTGTCCACACGAGTCTTCCCTGTCGGAGGGAATCTTAACTCTGTTAAGATTACGTGTACTTTCTCATTTAGTCCTCACAACAAACCTGTGAGGTGGATATTAATTGTCCCCATTTTGCAGATGAAGAAACTGAGTCTCAGGGAAGCGAAGTGACTTACCAAGGTCACTCAGTGGTAGAGTTGAGATTCGGCCTGCATCTTGATTTTGGAGTGTGTTTTGCACTGCATCCCCACCTCTCTCCCTTGTTCTCGCTGAGTTGAAAAAGAAAGCCTTTCGAACCAAAATGTCTCATTCCCTTCCGATCTCCAGACCTAATCAGGCACGGGCCAGCAAGCTCAGCCACGTTCTTTGTGTCCTGGGAGGCAGTGCTTCCATGCCCCTGCCAGGAGAGACCCCTAAGCCCATCTCAGTGCTTCCAGGCATGGGTGGCGGTAGCCCGTCCCGTGAGCCACCCAGTGTCAGCGGGGACTCAGCCTCCCCGGCCAGCAGGCTCTTCCCCTCGTGCTGGTCCCAAAAGGCCAGCTCCACGTGGAGTGACCCTTGTCCCACGTAAGGCGCTGATGCCTGGGCTTTCCGCATCCTCTTCTGATGCCTTTGCCTGACTCCCACTGTGCCTCAAAGGTCGTGGTGAGGGAGGGCCCCCAGCTGCCCTCTTGTCCCCTCTCTGCCACTTCCCTCCCGTCCCCAACGTGCCCTATAATAAAATTGGAGAGACCAGGATAGTTCTAAGTGCCTTTCCTTTGGGTGGGATGTTCAGTTCAGTCCTTGGTCTAACTCCTCTGTGGGATTGGCTTGGCAGATGGGCAAGGGAGCATGGCTGGAATGCCTGTGGGGACTGTCTTAATCTGTCACCAGAGGGCTTGAGTGACTTGCTTAAAATGAGTTTGTGATAGACCTAGACCTTACTATTTTTAGAATTTGTTCTGTGTTGAGAAAGATTCTGAAGTTAAACTCATTATCTTAGAAGCAGAGCCTGAGACAGGCATTAGGTAGTGTTTTTGCAGGAGGTCACTTTAGGAAAAACCTGTAAAAGAGTGAAACAGAATGGGGAAAGGAAAAATGCTGATGTATATGTGTGTGTATATATACACATATATATATAGTTCCTAGAGGGCAACAGTAGAGTAGTAAAGCAAGCACGGAGTTCTTCTAATCGTGAGACCCTGTGTGACTGCACAGGTTGTCCGCCTGGGAAGCTGTTCTGTCCCTGGCGGCTGGGAATTGCGGGCTTGGAGACGGAAGAGCCGCAGCCTGGGAGCCAGGCACAGCCACGTGCTGAGGTCAGAGGAGGGCATGTGCGCCTGCCTGCATGCCATGGAGACCAGGACAGAGAGGGTTTGCGCACAAAGGGAGTGGGTGAGTAAGCCAGGAAGGAACGTGGATGCCTCTGGGGTCTTGCCTGTCCGTCTCCCCATCTGATCAACCAACTTACTGGCTATACCGCGCGCGCGTGTGTGTGTGTGTGTTTGGATGAGAGGGAGAGAGAAAGATACATAAAGGCTAAAATGGAAGAAAGCTACAAAGGGCTGGAGGACAAGAGTCAGGAGAGGAGGCCCATTCTTGCTGGAGAGGACTGTAGGGCGTCTTGGCTGGGAAGCATGAACTGTGAAGGGGACCAGGTCGAGAGGCAAGCGCTGGGTCCGGAGGACCTTGAACGCCAGGCTGAGGATGCTCAAGTTTTTTAGTAGGGGTGGGGACAGCAGACACCGCACAATTTGGGGGCCGAGTAGCTACACAGTGAGACCTTGGCTTCCAAGGTTGGATCGGGACTAAGCCTGGAACAGCAAGGAGGCGGAGACCAGCGGGAATGCAGCCAATCAGGCCTCCGGAATCCCCAAGCGCTGTCAACTTTTCCCAAGGGCTCCGACCGGCGGGGGCGTGGTCTAGGGGATGGGCGTGTCCCTCCTCGGGCTCTGCACGCGTGGCCGCCCTGCCCCGCCCCCGCAGAAGCCGCGCTCCGGCTGCCCGAAGCGGGGCCCGCCTTCTGAGGACGCCGGGGCGCGGCTCGGTGCGCAGCTGCGAAGGATCGCTTCCGGGGGGCGGGTCAGCGGAAGTGAGGGCGGTTGGGGCGGGGCGGCCCGCTGTGGTAGGAGGGGCCGTGAGGTGAGTGAGTACCGGAGCCGGAGTCTGAGGTGAGACTAGGTCCGAGGGCCGCCCCGAAGGCGGGAGCGCGGCTTTCCGGCCGGCTGTCGACGCGGCCTACTGCCGGGCGCTGTGCGAAGCCGCGGCTCCTGTTCCCGCGCCAGTTCTCGCGGGAGCCGGTGTTGTCCGCCTCGTTTGGCAGGGGGTGTTAGTTGAGTCCCCAAGGGGTGGTTGCTCGCCCGAGTCACCCAGCTCCGGTGGCCGAGCTCCACTAGAGGCTTGTCCTTTCGGCCGCCTCCTCGCTCCGTCTGGGACCCGGCCCCGGGCCTGTGGTCCACGGGCCGCCGGGCCGGCGGCGAGAACTTGGCCGACCTTGGCCTGTGGGGGCGGGCGGTGGCGGGGGAGGGGAGGCGCGTCCGCAGCTGCTGGGGGCCCGCGCGGGCTGTCCGCTCGGCGAAGTTCCAGCGAGCGCGGCGGCCTCCGCGGGGCGCCCGGGACCCCGGGGCGATGAGACCAGCCCTGCTCTGGAGGGGCGGCCGTGTGTAAACGGGTCGTGACAGCAGCCTGGAGAGGGGCTGTGGGAGCGCGGAGCTGGGAAGACCCAGCGCGCGCTGTCTTCTTCCAGCCAGTGACCCGGGCGGGAGGGGGTGGGGAGCTTCAGGCCTCGGTCAGTGTTCTCGTTCATCCGTGTCGTAATTGACCCATCGTTTAAGCGCCTGTTAGGTACCAGGCGGGCACTGTGCTGTGCCTGGGGAAGTCCCTGCCCTGCGGACAAGCAGCAGATGACAGTTCCCTAATTACTCTTGTGAGAGGACTCCCAAGGAAATGCGGGGTGCTGGGGGTGACAGTAAAGGAGCTGACTGTCAGAGAAGGGGAGGCGATGCTTGAGCTGAGCTCCGAAAAATGACTGAGAATGAGCTTTCTCAAGAGGGTGCTGGTGGTGTTTCACGCAGAGGGAGTAGTGTGGACAAGGCCTCTGAGGTGGTGTGTTGGGGGCTGAAAGGCAGCCAGTGTGGCTAAAGGGCAAGGGGATCACAGGCGGGGTCTGTTAAGTGTGCAGGGGCCAGATGTAGGCCTTGTGGGCTGCGGTGAGTGTGGTCCAGGCAGGGCAGAGAGTTTGGTCTGGTGAAGTTGGGACTGATTGTGGAGGGCTCTGCAGGACGTGCTGAAAAGTCTAGATTTTATCCCGTTACCTCTGGCAAGGCTGTAGGGGTTTTAAACATAGGAACAATGTGACTAGCAATGTGTTCTAGGAAGGTCCCTCTGGCTGTTGTGAGAGGTCCACCTGAGTCTTGGGAGGTAAGTTCTGCCAGGAAGCGGCTGCAGTGACTGAAGTGAGAAACACAGGGAAGCACTGTTATGTGGAGCTTGTGGGAGGCATTGACATTCAGCACAGAGCCTAGCACATAGAGGGACTTGGATAAAAGGCTTGTACTGTGCTGAGAAGTTGAGCCCATGCAGGAGGCAGCAGGATCTGGGCCAGATTTAAAGTGCTTTCTGCTGCATGACCACTGAGTCATGACCTGAGACAAGTCCCTTCCTCTCGCCAGCTTCCTTTCCTCATAGCGTAAAGAGTGATAACTCCTCTCCCAAAGGTGAAGGACTACAAGGGAGGTTTCCAGAAAGAGCTGCTTTGGTCAGTCCAGTCCATCCCCTGTTGAGAGCCTGCCCTTGACTCCCCAGTGACCTCACCCGGGCATTCCCAGCCCTCATGACTTGATCCCCAATTTACCTTTGCGCCTTATCCACTCTGCTCCTCTTTACATCTCTCTCGCCTTCCTGTCCTGGATCTGTGCTGTTACTGTTTTTCTTCCCTTCCTACCTCCTCTGAACTCATCATGGGGCCTTGGGACCAGGGGGCTGAACTCACCTGGCTACTTGCCTAGTGTGCTTTTCTTAAGCAGTGATATTCAGCCTCTTCTAGAATTATGTATTCAGGTACTCTCTCTCTTCTAGATTGTGAGTTTCTTGAGAGCATGGCTGTGTCTTACTCCTTCCATAGCCCCTACATTGCCCAGCACAGGGCCTGGCACAGAGTGGGTATTGTTAGTGTTTGATGAACAAGGGAATGAATGAGCTCATTGATTGCATCTGCTCACCATGCAAGGGCAGCTGTGAGGAATCTAGGCAGGAGTGACTTCACCCATCTGTGTCATGTTTTAACAGTTCATTAAGCACTTTAAAATCCCCTATTCCATTGAATGATCCTTAAGGTAACCTAGAGTGGCAGCTTTTCTTGTCCTCTTTTTACAAATGAAGAAACCAACATTCAGAAAGGTTAAGTGACTTGCCTAAGGCTACAAGACCAGTAGATGGCTGAGCGAGGATAAAAATTTTTTGCTCTTCTCCCTGTAGTCTAGTAGACTGAGATTGGCTAGAGCTGGCTGTTCATTCTCCCATTGTCTATTTTGCCTCTCTCCCTTGAGGGGGTGGGTGTGGGGGTCCCAGCAGTGCTAGGCTGAGAGGCACATGCTGGGCTTTTACATCTCATCTTCAAGGATGAATGCTGGGCTTGGATGATATCTACAATTTGGCTTTCCCATGAGCTTTTTAACTACCAAAGGGTTCTATTTACATCTTTAGAAGTTTTGCCTCAGGAAACCTAAGGGCCCGGGAAGGCTCCCAGAGTTGGCCAAGCTCATGTAGCAAGTCTGGAACAGAACCTTTAAGGGTCTAGATTTGGAGAAACCACTGTTGAGTGAGGGCAGCCTTTTGGGCTGGTTTTCTCCCCTGTGAAATGTCAGAGAAGCCTTGGTGTTAGTCATGGCTCTACAGGGCCTGGTTTTGTGGGGCTTGTGTGGTGGCCATTGAGTCCCCACTGTGGGGGTTGTTTCATAGAAGAGAAGTCTGGTGTTCCCTAAGATGGCCTGATATGAGAGAGTCACGCCTCCCACCTCCCCGAGCCCCCAGAGCTGCCCTGTGGCTGCCTTCTCCTTCAAGTTCAGGAGCCAGTTGAAATGTCGGAAATGGAAGCCAACGTGGTAAGCGGCATTCCCTGCGGGGGTGTGGGTGGAAGGCTGAGCACTGGGCTTGCTGAAGTTCTGAGACCCTCCAGTTAATTATTCTTTTCCCCTGGAGGCCTGGAACTGGAGGGAGGCCACCCCCCCACAGGCAGAACCAACTATGATCTTGGGGCCATTAAGGAGTCAGTGTGTTTCTGCCTTTCTGTGCAGAGGGAAGGGAGAGAAGCCTGGATGATCCCTACACCTAGCTAATTCCTCACCCCTTCACTGGACCCTCCCAACCTTGACTGTGCCCTGGCAGCAGCAGGTGCACCCTTAGGTGGCTGGCCAAGGTGAAGGCTGGCGACTGGGAAACCTGCCCTCACTCATAATTGACTGACTTACTCCATAGGGTGCCCTGTCCCTGGGATTGGGGAATTCAGTCTCCCTGCTAAAGGGAATTGGACGGGGACAGTAGCTGGACTCATCTCTGAGGTTGTGGCTGTCCCTATCTCTCTCTGCTGTAGACCATCCCAATCTGGCAAAACAAGCCGCATGGGGCTGCTCGCAGTGTAGTGAGAAGGATCGGGACCAACCTGCCCCTGAAGCCATGTCCCCGGGCGTCCTTTGAGGTGAGTGGGCTGGATGGGCAGGGAGAGGGCAGGGAGGAAGGTGCTGCTTCTGTGCCCGAGAATCCTCGGCATTGCCGAGGGAGGTTGCTTTGCTGGTCACTTTTTCATTTTGTCAAGAAATATTTATTAAGTGCTTATAATGGATTCTGGTCACTGTGCCTTCCTGATTGTACACAAACCTGTGACCACAACAGTCAGGCTTCCAATTTGCTCGTAAATTAATAATCTTGCGTCTTGGATGCCTCTGTTAAGTGACTCAGATTTCATCAGGTTCCAGCAATACAGTTTATCAGTGCAGGCCAAAGATCCTTGATGAACCAGACCTCCAGAATAGCCATGTCTGTGCTCTGAGGTATTTGCCTGCAACCCTGGCAGGTCCCCACTCAGGACACTGAGTGCTGTGTGTCACTGAGTTGAACTCTGCTTTTCTTCACCAGCCCTAAGACATGGCCACTTAGCCACCTATTTTTAGTGTTTCCCTGAGTCCATTACTCCCCATTCTCTTCTTTCTGGCCAAGTCTGGCCACTCCTTTACTGGGCTACTTCAGTTTTACCTCTGTGTCTAAGGGCCTTTAGCACCTACTCTGCAGCAGAGATTCTTGCCTGAGACCCCATTCTGCAGTGGAAAGCTAAATAGCATTTATTAGTCCCAGCTGCCTCCCTCTAAGAACTAATGGTTAAGCACTAGCTCCAGACTAGATGCCTAAGGTATGTTCCTTTGAGGAGCTGGGACACAAAAGAAATACTTCAGCTTTCTGCCTACACAGAGGAGATAGAAATATATGCCTGAAAAGATGTGGGCCCAGGTGGATACAGAAATCAAGCAGTTGAATTTGTATATCAGGTGCTGAGCTGTGAAGTCTGTGTAGGAGCTGGATCTGGAGTCAGAAGTGGTGTCAGGGTTGGTATGAGAGTCAGGAATGGGGTTGGGGGTGGGCGGTGAGGGGGCTGCCCCCTGACCCAGATTTCTAGTTATCAAGAATTGCCCAAAGAGCCTGGGCAGGATGTGGCCCTAGCTGCCTCAAGCATCAGAAACAAAGGGAAGCACAGCTAAGGAGCGTGAGAGACTCAGTGGAGGTTGCCCCACACCCCGCTATAACCTGTCCAGTCCTTTGGCCAGATACCGCTGGGCAGAGACAATTAAGGGCATAAGCTCCCACAGAGAAGGAGCATGCGTGAGTAGTAGTAGTAATACTAGCTAACATTTACTGAGCACATACTATGTGCCAGGCACTATGCTAAGTACTTTATATATGTTAACTCATTTAATTGCCAATAGCAGAGGAGCATTCTGGCTAATCAGGGAAAGCACATGGAGGCCTCCCCTAAATGGCTCATCTTAGCAGTAGCTCCTGGGTTAGTAGAAGTCCTCCTCTGTAACCTTGGAGAATCACTTCACTCCTTTAAGACCCAGCTTCCCTATCTAAAAGCCAGAGCCATCAACTCCTGATCCACCTACCAAACAATCTGTAGCAGAAACATCTGAATTTAACTCATGTATAGGTGGGTTTTTGAGAAATTATCCCTGGATTTCTGTTGTAATTACCTTAAATATTATTTAAGGGAATCTTGCTGATTTGTTTTATTTTTTAAATTACTCATATAAAAATATTAAATTAAGGAAAATAAAAAGGAGAAAGGAAAGTAAATTACCTATAATTCACATAGTTATGACACAATAACTACTAATGTTTTGGTGTAGTTCTTTTTTTTTTTATGTTCGCCATCCAAAGACTAATTACCATCCGTCACCGTACACATGCATCCTTATTACCCCTTTCACCCTCCTCCCTCTCCCCTTCCCCTCTGGTAACCATCAATCTAATCTCTGTATCTGTGTGTTTGTTATTTTTATCTTCCACCTATGAGTGAGATCATACAGTATTTGATTTTCTCTGTCTGACTTATTTCACTCAGCATCATACCCTCAAGGTCCATCCATGTTACCACAGATGGCAAGATTTCATCTTTTTTATGACTGAGTAGTATTCCATTGTGTTAATATACCACATCTTCTTTATCCATTCATCCATTGATGAGCACTTAGATTGCTGCCAAGTCTTGGCTATTGTGAATAATGCTGCAATGAATATAGGGGTGCATATCTTTTCACATTCATATTTTTGTGTTCTTTGGATGAATACCCAGAAGTGGAATAGCTGGATCATATGGTAGTTCTATTCTTAGTTTTTTGAAGAATCTCTGTCCTGTTTTCCATAGTGGCTGTGCCAGTTTACATTCCCACCAGCAGCGTATGAGGGTTCCCTTTTCTCCATATCCTCTCCAACACTTGTTATTTCTTATTTTGTTAATGATAGCCATTCTGATGGGCGTGAGGTGATATCTCATTGTAGTGTTAATTTTCATTTCCCTAATTATTAGTGATGTTGAACATCTTTTCATGTGCCTGTTGGCCATCTGTATATCTTCTTTGGAAAGATGTCTGTTCAGATCCTTTGCCCATTTTTTAATTGGATTGTTTGGGTTTTTTGTTATGGAGGTGTATGAGTTCTTTATATTTTGGATATTAACCCCTTATCAGATACATGATTTGCAAATATCTTCTCCCAGTTGTTAGGTTGTCTTTTCATTTTGTTGATTATTTCCTTTGCTGTGCAGAAGCTTTTTAGTTTGATGTAGTCCCATTTGTTTACCTTTTCTTTTGTTTCCCTTGCCTGGTGAGACATATTCAAAAAGATACTGCTAAGACCAGTGTCAGAGAACGTACTGCCCATGTTTTCTTCTAGAATTTTTATGGTTTCAGGTCTTACATTCAAGTCTGTAATCCATTTTAATTTTTGTGTGTGGTATAAGATAATGGACCGCTTTCATTTTTTTGCATGTAGCTGTCCAGTTTTCCTAACACCATTTATTGAAGAGACTTTCCTTTCTCCATCATATGTTCTTTGCTCCCTTGTCAAAAATTAGCTGTCCACAGATGAGTAGGTTTATCTATGGGCTCTTGATTCTGTTCCATTGATCTGTGTGTGTTTTTGTGCCGGTACCATGCTGTTTTGATTACTTTAGCTTGGTGGTATATTTTGAAATCAGGGAGTGTGATACCTCCAGCTTTGTTCTTTTTCTCAGGATTCCTTTGGCTATTTGGGGTCTTTTCTTGTTCCATATAAATTGTAGGATTCTTTGTTCTGTATCTGTGACAAATGTCACTGGGACTTTGACAGGGATTGCATTGAATCTGTAGATTGCTTTAGGCAGTATGGACATTTTTACTATGTTAATTCTTCCAATCCATGAGCATAAAATGTCTTTCCATTTCTTTGTGTTTTTGATTTCTTTCAACATGTTTTATAGTTTTCAGTGTTCAGGTGTTTCACCTCCTTAGTTAAATTTATTCCTAGGTATTTTATTCTTTTTGTTGTGATTGTAAATGGGATTGTATTCTTTTTTTTTTTAATTTTATTTATTTATTTTTCCCCTCAAAGCCCCAGTAGACAGTTGCATGTCATAGCTGCACATCCCTCCAGTTGCTGTATGTGGGATGCGGCCTCAGCATGGCTGGAGAAGCGGTGCGTCGGTGCGCGCTGGGGATCCGAACCCGGGCCGCCAGCAGCAGAGCGCGTGCACTTAACCGCTACGCCACGGGGTCGGCCTTGGCATTGTATTCTTAATTTCTCTTTCTGCTATTTCATTATTAGTATATAGAAACGCAACTGATTTTTGTATGTTGATTTTGTATCCTGCAACTTTACTGTATTCATTTATTATTTTTGATAGTTTTTTGGTAGATTCTTTAGGGTTTTCTATATGTAAAATCATGTCATCTGCAAATAGTGACAGTTTTACTTCTTCCTTTCCAATTTGGATCCCTTTTATTTCTTTTTCTTGCCTGATTGCTCTAGCTAGGACTTCCAATACTATGTTAAATAAGAGTGGTGAAAGTGGGCATCCTTGTCTTGTTCCTATTCTTTAAGGATAGCTTTCAGTTTTTCTCCATATGGCCTTTATTATGTTGAGGTACTTGCCTTCTATACCCATTTTATTCAGAGTTTTTATCATAAGTGGATGCTGTATCTTGTCAAATGCTTTCTCTGCATCTATTGAGATGATCATGTGATTTTGTCTTCATTTTGTTAATGTGGTATATCACATTGATTGATTTGCAGATGTTGAAGCATCCCTGCATCCCTCAAATAAATCCCACTTGATCATGGTGTATCATCTTTGTAATGTATTATTGTATTTGATTTACTAGTATTTTGTTGAGGATTTTTACATCTATGTTCATCAGTGATATTGGCCTGTAATTTTCTTTTTTTATGGTGTTCTTGTCTGGCTTTGGTATCAGGGTAATGTTGGCCTTGTAGAATGAGTTAGGAAGCATCCCCTCCTCTTCAATTGTTTGAAAGAGTTTGAGAAGGATAGGTATTAAGTCTTCTTTGAATGTATTGGTAGAGTTCACCAGGGAAGCCATCTGGTCCTGGACTTTTGTTTCTTGTGAGGCTTTTGATTACTGTTTTGATCTCCTTACTAGTGATCAGTCTATTCAGATTCTCTATTTCTTCTTGATTCCATTTTGGAAAGCTGTATGATTATAAGAATTTATCCAGGGGCCGGCCTGGTGGCATAGTGATTAAGTTCACCTGTTCTGCTTTGGTGGCCCGGGGTTTGCTGGTTCAGATCCTGGGTGCGGACCTACTCACCACTCATCAAGCCTTGCTGAGTCGGCGTCCCGTATAGAAGAGCTACAACTCTACAGCTATGATACACAACTATGTACTGGGGCTGTGGGGAGAAAAAAGGAAAAAAAAAAAAAGGAGGAAGATTGGCAACAGATGTTCATGCAGGGCCAATCTTCCTCAAAAAAAAAAAAATTTATCCATTTCATCTAGATTATCCAATTTGTTGGCATATAGCTTTTCATAGTATTCTCTTATAATCCTTTGTATTTCTGTGGTGTACACTGTAATTTCTCTTCTTTCATTTCTGATTTTATTTATTTGAGCCTTCTCTTGTTTTCTTGGTGAGTCTAGCTAAAAGTTTGTCAATTTTGTTAACTTTTCAAAGAACCAGCTCTTAATTTCATTGATTTTTCTCTATTGTTTTTTTAGTCTCTATTTCATTTATTTCTGCTCTGATTTTCATTATTTCCTTCCTTCTACTGATTTTGGGCTTTGTTCTTCTTTTTCTAGTTCCTTTAGGAATACTGTTAGATTATTTGAGATTTTTCTTGTTTCTTGAGGTAGGCCTGTGTTGCTGTAAACTTTTCTCGTAGCACTGCTTTTGCTGTATACCATAAATTTTGGTATGTCATATTTTCATTTTCATTTGTCTCCAAGTATTTTTTGATTTCTCCTTTGATTTCTTCCTTGACCCAATAGTTGTTCAGTAGCATTTTGTTTAATCTCCACATATTTGTGGCTTTTCCAGTTTTCTTCTTGTAGTTGATGTCTAGTTTCATACTGCTGTGGTCAGAAAAGATGCTTGGTATTATTTCAGTCTTCTTAAATTTATTGAGACTTGTTTTGTGGCCTAAGATGTGATGTAACCTGGAGAATGTTCCATGTGTATTCAAAAAGAATGTGTATTCTTCAGTTTTGGGATGGAACGTTGTGTATGTATCTACTAAGTCCATCTGGTGTAATGTGTCATTTAAGGCCAATGTTTCCTTATTGATCTTTTGTTTGATGTTCTATCCATTGATGTAAGTGGAGTGTTAAAGTTCCCTACTATTATTGTGTTACTGTCAATTTCTCCTTTTATGTCTGTTAATAACTGCTTTATATATTGAGGTGCTCCTATCTTGGGTGCATAGATATTTACAAGTGTTACGTCCTCTTGTTGGATTGTTCCCTTTATCATTATGTAGTGCCCTTCTTTGTCTCTTGTTATAGTTTTTGTTTTCAAGTCTATTTTGTCTGATATAAGTATTGCTACCCCAGCTTTCTTTTCATTTCCATTTGCATGGAGTATCTTTTTTAATCCCTTCACTTCCAGTTTGTGAGTGTTTTTAGGTCTGAAGTGTGTCTCTTGTATGCAGCTTATATATGGGTCTTGTTTTTTCATCTGTTCAGCCACCCTATGTCTTTTGATTGGAGCATTTAGTCCATTGACATTTAAAGTGGCTACTTATAAGTATGTACTTACTGACATTTTATTACTTTTTTTCTGGTTGTTTTAGTAGTAGTTCTCTGTTGCTTTTTTGTTCTCTTGCTCACTTCCCTTGTGATTTGATGGCTTTCTTTGGTATTATGTTTGGATTCCTTTCTATTTTTTTGTCTGTTTATTATAGGTTTCTGGTTTGTGATTACCATGAGGTTCATATATAATAACCTATGTAAATAGCAATCTATATTAAGTTGATGGTCTCTTAAGTTTGACCTCTTACTAAAAGCCCACATTTTATGTTCTTGATATTATATTTAACCTCTTTTTGTGTGTGTGTGTATCCCTTTAACCTCTTATCATGGAGATAGATATTTTTAGTACTTTTGTCTTTTGACCTTCATACTAGCTTTATAGGTGGTTGATCCACTACCTTTACTGTATATTTGCCATTGCCAGTGATTTTTTTTCTTTGATAATTTTCTTATTCCTATTGGTGGCTTTTCTTTTCCACTTAAATAAATCTCTTTACATTTCTTGTAAGGCCTGTTTAGTAGTAATAAAACTCCTGTAGTTTTTGCTTGTTGGGAAAACTCTCTCTCTGTCCATTCTGAATGAGAACCTTGCCAGGTAGAGGATTCTTGGCTGTAGGTTTTTTCCTTTCAGTACTTTGAATATATTTTGCCACTCCCTTCTAACCTGTAAGGTTTCTGCTGAGAAGTCAGCTGATAGCCTTATGGGGTTTTCTTTATATGTAACTTGCTGCCTTTCTCTTGCAGCTTTTAGGATTCTCTATTTAGTTCTTGACATTTTAATTATAATGTGTCTTGGTGTGGGCCTCTTGGGGATCATCTTGTTTAGTGTTCTCTGTGCTTCCTCTACCTGGATGTCTGTTTCCTTCCTCAGGTTAGGGAAGTTTTCAGCTATTATTTCTTCAAATATGTTCTCTGCCCCCTTTGTCTCTCTCTTCTCTTTCTGGGACACCTATAATACGGATGTTAGTATGCTTGATGTTGTCCCAGAGGTCCCTTTGTCCTCATTATTTTTAATTCATTTTTCTTTTTTCTATTCAGCTTAGGTGATTTCCTCAACTCTTTCTTCTAGGTCACTGATCCATTCTTTTGTGTCATCTACTCTGCTGTTGATTCCCTCTAGTGAATTTTTAATTTCCATTATTGTATTCTTCAGTTCTGATTGGTTGTTTATATTTCCCAATCCTTTGTTGAAATTCTTTTCCATCTTTTTCTAGATGTATATTTTTTGCTTTGTTCTAATGATAGTTACCATATGATTGAATCCTCCTACTTTTTCATTTAACATAGTGTCACTCAGCCTCTCTAGTCCCTGGTTGTTGTTCATTTGGGTTTGACGGGCTATTTTAAGGAATCCTGCTATGATTCCTTTTGTATAATTAATCATGTCTTTTTATGTAAATCTAAATATTCAAATTATCAAGTTTGCTTAAAACAGTGTAGATCCCAATTAGCTACAAAGGTGTTATAAAGAGTTAGCCAGGAGAAACTTCCTGTTGATGTAACAGATTGTTGATGTCTTTGCACCTGTATTCTCACAACCAGAGGGCAAGATGCTCTTAGACAGTGGCCATCTCTGTTAAAAGGTAACTCTGGCCAGTCCCACTGAAGACCCCTTTGCTCTAGCCAGGGGTCAGCAAACTTTTTCTTTAAAGGGCCAGAGTAAATATTTTAGGCTGTGGGCTATAACAGTCTCTGTGACAACTACTCACTTTTGCAGTTGTAGCTTAAAAGCAACCACAGACAATACATAAATGAATGGGTGTGACTGTTCTTCCAATATAACTTTATATATAAAAACAGGCCCCATCCCTGCTCTAGGCCACCGTGTTTTGTTTGGAGGATACAACAGCCTCATAATTGGTCTCTTCAACCTCCCATCCATGTACCACACAGCAGCAGAATATTAAAACCTAAAATCTGATCCTTAATTACTTAAAAGCTTCCAGTGGCTCATTATTGGTCTTAGAATCAAAGCTCCTAATTCACTTTCTAACCTCTCACAATCCCCCCTTATCCTCCATTCCACCCATGCTGAACTATTTGTAATCTCAGAGACTCTCTTGCTTCTGGCCTCTTATTCAAGCTATTTCCAACCAATTCAGAACTCTCTTCTCCCTCCTCTAGAAAACCTTCCTGACACCCAGTGCTGGATTAGGTGCCCCTCCTATGTATTTTGCAGTCTCTCATTATCTCATCATGATGTCAGTAAATGTTTGTTGATGAATTTTGCTTCTCTATAGACCCTGCCCAACATCTCTGACCTGTGTCTAAGGGATGTGCCCCCAGTCCCTACTCTGGCTGACATCGCCTGGATTGCCGCAGATGAAGAGGAGACATATGCCCGGGTCAGGTAGTTGAGGCAATAGCTGGTCTGCTGGGGAATGGGAAGCTTCTTCCCATTCGAGGTGGTAGGCAGCAGGGAGAGTGCTTGTGAGGCTGAAGGCAATAGGAATGAGAGCTGTGGGCTCAGAGTGGGAGCAGAATCTGGCTGTGTTACTCTTGTAGGGTGAAGGAATTTTAGAAGGGGTGCAGTGGCCAGCTGTCTCTGACTGACATACTTGTCTTTCCCTGGTCCAGAAGTGATACACGCCCCCTGAGGCACACCTGGAAGCCTAGCCCTCTGATTGTCATGCAGCGCAATGCCTCAGTGCCCAACCTGCGTGGGTCCGAGGAGAGACTCTTGGCCTTGAAGAAGCCAGCCTTGCCAGCCCTAAGCCGCACCACAGAGCTGCAGGATGAGCTGAGCCACCTGCGCAGCCAGATTGCTAAGATAGTGGCAGCTGATGCAGGTAGGAGCCCCTGAGCCAGGGCCAGAATATAGCAGGCAATTCCTTTTCCCCTGGCTTTTGGACAGGATAGGGGTAAGGAAATAATGGTTGTTGTTCAGGGGGACTTAGGCACAGGGCTCTGGGGTTGCCCTGAGGCTTGTCTAGCCTGTCATACTCCTTAGATAATTTCCATCAGCCATTTTGGGCTGATGGGTTTCGTTAGCAACAAAATCTTCTCATAATCTGTGATCTCAGGCAGATTCCATCCCTTGGCCACAAAAACGAACACCCTCCTCCTCCAAGTGTCTTTAAGATCACGTCTTTCATGAGCCCTGAGCAGCTTTCCTTTCCAATATGAAAAATAAGCATTTCCCACCAAGAGACTTATCCCCTATAAGCACCAATCTTCCCTTTCCTTATCCTATCTACTAGAGCCCACCTCTCCATCCCTCTACCCTTCTGTCTGCAGTTAAGGCAGAACCACTGGAAATGAATGGGAGTCTGTCTTGGCCAGCAGCATGAAACACCAACAGGTGGATCTCTCCCAAGATACTCAGGGTTTATCCTCATATTCATCCCATCCTCATTTTTTTTGCTCCTTGTTGACTCAAAGTCATAGCTTCCAAACCTTATCAGTTGGTAGAACACATGAAAATCATGGTGTTTTCTTTGAAACCTTCATCTACTTAATTCCCTCATATGGCAGTTTTATAGAGGAATTGCACTTGAATTTTCCATTTATATTTATTGGCTACTTTTATGTCATCCAAGAGACAAGCTAAAGTAGTTTGTGAAAAATCAGGGAGTGTTTCTTAGAAACTGAGAAGATTCTCTCCATTAAAATTTGGGAAACTAGGAGGACCATCCCCATTCTATTTTTGCTACAGAACACTTCTTCCTGTCACAGATAGCAAAAAAAGGAGCACAGTTAGAAGCATTAGCCCAGTTAGAGAAAAGAACAAATTCAGGCCTTGATTCTGTCACTGTTGCTTCTGTCTAAATTCCGTAGCTCACTGCAGAATGGGAGCCTTTAGGAGCCAAAGCCTTTATGCAGTGGGTTTTTCTGCCCTCTGGAATACTGGAAGAGCCCAGTGCTCCTACATCTTGTTGAGATCCTGAGAGGGGAGGGTAGTGGAGGAACCTTCCACCGGCTTACAGATACCATCCTGGGCTCTCCCAGGATGTCGTGGTGTCAGCCCAGGAAATGAATGTTTATAGGCAGTGCTTGTGAGAAGACGTTTCTGCTGTATTCTAGCCCCAATGTCCATCCATGCCTGTTGTTTTCTCTTTCAGCTTCGGCTTCATTAACACCAGATTTCTTATCTCCAGGAAGTTCAAATGTCTCTTCTCCCTTACCTTGTTTTGGATCCTCATTCCACTCTACAACTTCCTTTGTCATTAGTGACATCACTGAGGAGACTGAGGTAGAGGTCCCTGAGCTTCCATCAGTCCCCCTGCTTTGTTCTGCCAGCCCTGAATGTTGCAAACCAGAACACAGAGCTACCTGCAGCTCGTCTGAGGAGGATGACTGTGTCTCTCTGTCCAAGGCCAGCAGCTTTGCAGATATGATGGGAATCCTGAAGGACTTTCACCGGATGAGACAGAGCCAAGATCTGTAAGTATTTGATAATGAGCTCTAGTGATCTATTTACTGTTAACTTGCCCGTGGCCAATGATCTAATAGAAGGTACTTACATAGTAAGTCCTCAGTAGTAGCCATGTGTTACTCCGTTTACAAAGCTTACTACCTGCTTGCTAATGCCTGGGACCCCAGTTTGAGGAAAGAGCAACACTTTACATTTGGTTGGGGTGATCTAACCCAACCAAGTATTAGACTAGTAGGGATTTTATAAGACGGCTCATCTAATCCAACTTCTGTCCCCCAGGGTGGACCTCATCACTTCAGTTCTCATGTTGCTAGTGACAGTGTCCCCAGGCCCTACCCTTCAAAGTGGGTTGCATAATACTCAAATTGGTAAACTTTTTTGGCGGAAGGAGAATTTTCTAAAGTGGGAATTTCTGTCTTAAAATACAGTGGTCCCTTATGCAAACCAACCCTGCAAATTCAGAGATTTGAGAACAAGGTTTTCGAGACTCATAGGTAGTTCTTAAACCTAGCTGTCCTTCAGAATTGCTCAGATTTGTTAAAAATACACCTTAAACTTACTAAAGCAGAACCCTCAAGGAGTGGAGCATGAGGAAATTTGGGAAATACCTACCTTGAGAAACTCATCTAGCAGAGAAGCCCTAGAGCTCCAGCTGGAGGAAGTGTTTCTCCAAGTGTGGTCTGAGCACCTGCATCAGATGCACCAGAGGAGCTTGTTCAAGTGCAGGTTCCTGGGCATGGAAACATTTAAGTTTGACATCCAGACCCCAAAGGCCAGAGGCCTGAGTGTGCAGCTGTATTTGTTAATGCAGATAAAAATGCTGTTTGGAGGTGCTGGGAGGTGAGGTCTCTCTCCTGAGTTGAAGTTCCTGTTGAAGGGAAGGTTAACTCACCTTGTGCAAGAATCCCTTTGTGTCTGTGGCCCCATTTCCCTCTGAAAACAAGACAAGGCTAAGTGACTCCCTCATTGCTTCCTGGTAGTTGATCCTTTGGGGAAGTCACTTTTACCTTCCTTCTCTGGCCCTAGCGAGGCTGGTCATACTGACCAGTTCTTTCCCGCATTCCCAAATTCAGCTGCTGCTGCTTCTGGGCTGCCCTAAGCCTTTTTCTTCTGGTCAATGTTTTATAGATTGACTCTCAAACTTTCTTTTACTTGCCTCTTTGACCATATTAGATCCAAGCCCCTCCTTCCATTCGTGTCTTGGGGATCTTTTCTCCCTTGTTAATAGAAGGAGCTGGGTTGATGACTAAGAATGGGAAAGTAGCCCCATCAGCAAAGGTTCAGAAGTGTAACAGACTGAAGGCAATTCCTCTTGTTTTTGCTTTCGAGGTTTAATTATCAACCTTGGCTCTTACGTCTAGCCTAATGACCAGTAAATATGTATGAGGATATATGTATGTAAGTTCACTAGAATTTCATGCAACTATTTTCCAGGTATCTAGGACACTCTTTTATGATGTATCAGGCAATTTGAACATACCCCAATCTGGAGTTGGTTTTGTTCCCACAGGTCCCTTATGATGTGAACATTTTACTATAAATTCTAGACCTCTTATAAAAAATCTCACAGCTCCCCTGATGGGGAGACAGGGCAGTAGGAAATCCTTAGCACACCTTTTCCCCAGAACTAATAAAGGTCAGAATAGCCAAGAGTCATTAGTCACTTCCACTGCTGACCTGGGGAAATGCTACCAAGAAAAGATAGTGCCAGAAGGTGGGAGCAGAAGCCTAACCACCACAGGCCAACTCTAACTGGTTGATGGTCCTTTACTTTGCCCACATTTTATAGCCATTTCAGGAAATAGTAAAGCATTCTAGTTAAGAAATGAGATCTCCAACCAGCTAGCTTGGTTTTGGACTCTGGATTCACCACTTACCAGCTGAGCGATTAGTGACTTTGGGAAAACTGCATAACCTTTCTGTGCTTTAGTTTCCTTATTTGTAAAAAAGGGATTGTAATAGTACCTACCCCATAAGATTGTTGTGAGGATTGAGATTGTATTCAAAGACACTAAACACTGCCCAGGACAAAGTAAATACTCAGTAAATATAAGCTGTTATTGTCTCTCTAGGAATCGGAGTTTATTGAAGGAGGAGGACCCTGCAGTCCTTATCTCCGAGGTCCTAAGAAGGAAGTTTGCTCTGAAGGAAGAAGATATCAGTAGAAAAGGAAACTGACTGCACTCAGCTCTGCAAACTCAGCCTCATGCTCCTGGAATTCCTTCAATAGCTGCCTTCCTCACCGCAGATGTTTCTGCCTCTCAATTAGAAACCTTCTGCAACAGTCTTGCCGAAAGCTAGAGCTTGGACTGAAAGAGAAGAGCTGGATTATACGTTTCCCATACTTTAAACCTTAGCGGAAAGCTAAGGCCTGTTTTTAGCTGAGACACTTTTTACAGGTAAATATATAGGTTGGAATGTTTCAGTCTAAAGGGTGAGATAGAATTTCTGGTTTTTCCTTGCTCCTGTGTGAAAATAGGTCCTAAATGAATGAGTGACTTCACTGCATTAGACCCCATAACTGGTCTCACCGCACACTTTGTGCCCAGCTGTCACTCACTCTCAGCAGCTTCCTTGCAGCAGAGCAGGGCTGAGGGGAGGGAGCTATAAATGTTGATGTACATGTTCACAGGGCAGGGAAAATCTTATGCTGCTCCATCATAAACTGACACCAATGCCCAGCAATCACCCTCTCCCCCTTTCCTGTCCAACACCTATTTAGAGGTTGGGCCACTGGACCAGCTAACACTTGGGCTGCTGCTGGGAGGCCTGGGCTGTTTTTTTCTTAAATATATTTTGTAATACTGTACAACCAAATCTACCCTCTAAGGCCTTGGGGCATCATCAGTTCCACTGATTGAAAACTCTTTCTCTTCCAAGGACTTTAGTTTAAGCCCAGCAGGAAAGAGAAATGGGGAGGGGAGAGAGAGTACCATCCTTCTTCCAGGCCTGTGACTGCTCCTTTGCGTTAGGCCAAGGTTTGTACCTGCCACACCATGCATGACTCAGACGCCCTCAGGTCCCTTTCTCTATGGTATGTATCCTGTGTGTGTTTGAGTTGAAGCACTACCTGACATTAAAGGAAGGATTTGGAGAGAGAGTGCATTTGCTGTGTCTTATCTCTGAGTTGTGATCACCTTTTTAAGGTATGTGAACTTTTATAATAAACTAACTCCTGGCTTCCTCTCTTTCCTTATAAGGTCCTCCCTTTATAAGAGAAAACTTCCCTAAGGAGCCTCTTGTCCCTTTCTGTAGAGAGTTTGCCCTAAGCTCTTAAAGCAGTTACATCTTATAACTTGCAAGCTTGCCCCCCGCAAGCCTTTTACGTACCACACCTGCAACATGGAAAACTGCTACGTGGTGGATAACATCTTGGGTAGAACACAGGTCAAATTAGACTCCTGTTCAGATCAGACCCATGGCAATGACCAAGCATATACTATTAAAAAGTTGCTTTATCAAAGATAAAATTGGTAATGTTTTAATTACCATCAGAGTCAGCTTTGTAAACATTTATTTGGATTCATAGTTTTACAAAGGGAGTTCTCTCCCACCTTGTAGAATAGTGATAGTCACATCTAGATTGTTATATAGCTCAGGTGTTTTTAGGGAGAGATGTTTCAACATAGAGTATATAACTTTAAAATGCTGTAAAGTTACCACAAAAATAAAATAAACTACCGTCATTCTACCTCTCTCTCTATCCCCCCTGCCCTCATACAGCTGGGTTGGGGAGATTTGCCTTATCACTCAAAAAAGTGTCAGCAGTAATGGTCCCAAGCTTAGGTTGCATGAGTATGACTACAGCCAGAGATTAAAAGTACACACATCCATGAGAAGCAACGTCCCAGTCAGGCATTTGAAAGGGCAAAGAGGTGGTCTGTGCAGGCTGAGTAATAGGCTCTTTAGTGGAGGGCTAAGTACCTGCCCTGCCTCCTCAGTGCTCATCACGACTCATACAGGGAGTTTACCCGCCACTTCTTCCTCAGGGAAAGGCACAACGCCAATCAGACTGTCTCAAGTGGCACCACCTGCTCTATTTACACAAAGAAAATGCTCAATAACAGCTTCATCCAATGTCTGTCTCCCTCCTACCCAAACATACTAACTCACTCTCCCAAGATATTTTCCTATATCTCTGTCATTTCAAAGTAAAGTACTTTTAGAACCAAACTCTCAAAGACATTTAGACTTGGTGCCTGATAACTTGATTACCTTCAGAGTCCTGGGTAAAGAGCAAATCAGGCTGCAGATTTAACTGAGTGGGCCTATCCTGGCATTGAGCCCAAGGGCTGTTGGGAAACTGCCCTAAGCCCTGATTCCTGTTGTTGGTTACATCTCGGAAAGGAGCTCTAAAGTTGTGGGCGATGACCCGCTGGCCCTGAGAATCCTCAGTGAAAAGCTGACTCCAGGAGTCCTTGTCATGGTTTTCACTGTCCCAAGAAAACACAGGAACAGGACAGGGGCTTCGTTTCACTGATTTTGTGTTTTCTCTGCTCCAGAAATCCCTTCTGTTTTCCTTGGCAGACACCTTTTCAAATTTAGTCTTGTCCAGGGGCTGATGGCCCTTGCCCCCAGGTGGTTTACTATGTCTCTCCATACCCTGATAGTTCTTTTTCTTAGGTCCATGAAGCCAGTCCCTTTTCCAGGAAGAATCCTTCACTGCCTCCTTTTGGCCCAGCAAGCAAGAACTTTCCAAGTCCTGAGTGAAGGAATAAGCCAGTGAGTCTTGACTCTCTCCAGCACAGACTAAGGTGTCAGGCTGGAACAAAGACAGCACAGTCAAGGATGGGGTTCCCATTCTGTGGTGGTCAGACGCCTGGAGAGACTGAGGACCAAGTCCAGCTTCCTGGATGTCTGCAGGGGTTGAAGTGGCTAAAGGGGATGCCATGCAATCATCCCCCAAGCCCTGGATCAGATGTTCTTGCTGGGTTGTGTCTTGCTTAGATTCTTTGTTGCTCTGACTTTCTATATGAGATGAAACACTCCTCTGATCACCACCATTTGTCTTTCCTAGTAAAACAGACACGAAAAAAAATATTGTTCTGCAGGAAAACTCTGCCATGAGCAGGATTTAGTTGGCTTTTTCTGAGATCAGTATCAGCTACTATCACTACCTAGTGCAGGGGTCTTAGGCTCTTCACATACCTTTGTAGCTCATCTTCCTGCTTTCAGTCTCTCTATTCTCTCCTGAATGATCTTTCTAAAACACAGATCTTATATTCCCCTACTCAAATATATGGATGTTTCACATGACCTACCTAATAAAGTCAAACATGTCATATAATCAGACCACAGCTTACTTTTCCAGCTGAGTTTTCATATGTGGGATTTAACATAAAGCATATTAGTTTTGCTTTTGTTTTTTATTTAATGTGGTTTCTGGTAAACAGTGATTCTGGCCAAATATTACTCCTGGGTATTATCCTTTGAGAAGCATGCTCAACACACACTATTTTTGTAAGGTCTCGAAGATCACATAACCATCCAACTCTGAGAAACCTTCTAATGACAGTGTGAAGAACGCAGGTTCCCCACTCCCCAAACATTTCATGGTAAAGAGAGGAAAGATACAGTTTGATGCTAAGTCAACCAGTAGGAAGAACAATAATAAAAAAACAACTGCTAGTGTCCAGCCTGTCCATTTTTTCAGGCGTGCAGCAGATCCTGTTATGCCTTAAGGACAATGACATGGAATTCCCACTCTCCCCCCAAATTATACCAAGAGCTAATTACAAACAAAGCTGAATGACTGACTTCCTCTTTCCTTCTTCAAGAATTATACCACAGAACCTATGTTTTGTGAAAGAGTTCTCAATTTTGCCTACGAATTCAATACAGACTAGAATATACCAGAATTTTGAAATGGAAAGTGTTTTTGAAAAAAATCTGCCCTAGTTACTTAAAGGAAGGGTGTTTAAGTTTTTGTTTAGGGTAGAGAGAGTGCATTTTGAATGCTGATGCAAAGCAATCCTGGGAATCACACCAAGAGTTAGCGCTCTCCTCTCAGTACCCTCCAGCTGGCAGGAACCCTGCTCTGTAAGCCCCAGCCTGCTCTGAGGCAGCCCATCTCCTGAGGAGGGACATGCAAGCAAAGAACTGCCAAAAGATGATGAGACACAGCCAATTTTAAGCCAATCTTTCTAAGAAAAAGCATCTTTGAGCCTTGACTAATTTGAGAAGCTTCATACAGAAAATCAGTTATCAATTAATCTTAAAGACCAATTGTTATGAGTCCAACACATATACCTAACTAATGGCAGAGCAGCTCCCTTATGCACCCCCAACTCCCAAGTATACCTTTCCATACGGCTCTGTCAGGGAATACAAGACTAAGAAAAAAACAGAAAAGTATGTTTGTAAAAGCATGTACAGTATATATTGTTTTTCAAAAGGCAGTGATTTCTTGTTTTATAACCTCTTCTAATAGGTCAGCTAAGTTTAACACAATGCACTGCTGTCACCACTTATAAATGTTCCAGCATGGAAAAATGCACACACTCCTTTTGGCTCTCTGGGTGCTCCTAGACAGATCACCATACCTGGCTGCAAGGTGAAGAAGGAAGCAATGCTGGTCTGCCAAATGCCTGCAGGTGGAGTTCTTCTTTGGGTAAAAGAAATCTTACCCTTTCTCTCTCCAGGAAAGAGTGTTGGCATTTTGGTGCTTGGCTTGATTAAATGTGTCTGAGAAGGGAGAAGAATAATAACAGAACCTATTAATATCAAAACAGCTGCCAGACGAGAGAGATTCAGTAAACACCAGTGACCCTCTTGGAACCACACTGGACCCTTTGGACTCCACTCATATCCTATTCTCTAGGTAGTTTTTGCTGTACATCATCTTCCACCATTTCCTACCATACTGATGGTGTTTGTTTTTCTCAGGAAATCATGTATTCCAACTATAGCCCAATCTTTCCGCTTCCCCATGTAAATCAGTCAGGCTGACTAAACAACACAGGATTTGTTGAAGGGATTCCAGGGATGATGCTCTCTCCTTTAAAGATAATTAATGATTATACATCAGTGGCAGTTGATGCATTTTCATTAGTTTTCAAATAGTGACACAGTGGTTAAGAGCATGGCTTCTGAGTCACATAGCTTCATTTCCCATCAATCCCAATTCTACCACTGCCACTTATTAGCTTTGTGACCCTCTGCAGGTTGTTTAATCTCTGTGTTTCATTCTTATGTGTGAAATGGGGACAATAATATTATCTATCCCATAAGGCAGTTATGAGGATTTGGTGAGTTAATTCACATAAAAGGCTTACATAGTTCTTGTATAGCACTCAATAATAATTGGCTATTATTAAGAGGAAGAGCAATGAAACAGCACCAGTCTTACCACATTTTCGTCTCAGGTCCCTTTATACTTTAGAGTATGAATTGGAAGATGGGCCAGAGTTTGGAAAGTGTCAACTTTTTTTTTTGTGAGGAAGATCAGCCCTGAGCTAACATCTGTCACCAATCCTCCCCTTTTTGCTGAGGAAGATTGGCCCTGGGCTAACATCCGTGCCCATCTTCCTCCACTTTATATGGGACGCCGCCACAGCATGGCTTGACAAGCACTGCATCAGTGTGCGCCGGGGATCTGAGCCCCGGGCCGCTGCAGCGGAGCGCACACAATTAACTGCTACGCCACCAGGCAGGCCCGGGAAGTGTCAACTTTTATTACCTCACCCTTATTTAGAGTCATTCGTTTTTGTTTCAATTTGCTCATTATGGAATGCCTGAAAAGTAGGGAAAATAGGATTCAATTCAGTTTGCCTGTGAAAGCCAAAGAAGAAATGGGATTTGCCACTATTCATGCAGCAAGTTGGAAGGAGGCCTGAAACTTGAACCAAATTATTAGTTCTAGGCCAAAATTGACTTCATTTCATTTTTACATTTGGAAACTGAAATGTACTTTAAGTGGTTAAAAGAAGAAAGAAATCCTGAGTGTAAAATTCATACTTTGACTTGTAGTACTGGTACAGAACCTTCCCTTCTACCATACAAAACTAGAAAACTGAATATGATAGATGAAACAACTGATTTTAGACAATGGACACAGGCAGTGTAGGACTGTGATCCCTGAGAGAAGGCAAACAAATGAGGTGAGCCCTATGATCACCCTAACTTTCTGCTTGGAAGCACTTGCCAAACTGCAATGTATAGAGACAGTACCCAGGCAGAGCATTGCAGTCTTGATGAACTGAATAATTTAAGATTGGAATTTGAGGAAGCTGAGGTAGCTGGGATTTGCACAGCAGAGAAATATATCCAGAAATCTACTTAGAGATCCCTTCAGTCTCTTACTGAATACTAACCTACACATGTGTTAGGTGATACCCCACAAGGCCAGACAAAGAAATGCCAGGAACTACAAGCTGAACAATTCCCAGAGCTCACATAGGGCTGGGAGAGTTCCCGCCTGCCAGAATAGAGAGACCTCCTTGAATACCAGGGGCATTCAGTAGAGTTCTCAGAAAGATCACCCCTTAGCAGTAGAGCTAAACTAGCCCTAGAGCAAAAGCTATTCCAAACCTGTCCTAACAAAGCTTAAAAGCAAGCATTTAAAGTATCAAGCTAATTAGCAAGTAACTAACTGCCAAAACAAATTTCAATATTCTTTAAAGACAACAAAATCCAGATACCCAACAATGGAGCACTCATGATGTCTAGCATGCAATAAAAAATTACTAGATATGTGAAGAAGCAGGAAAACATCCAGAATGGGGAGGGGAGAGTTAATAGATCAGTTAATAGAAATACTAGAACCCAGAAACGTCAGGGATGAAAGAATTAGCAGATAAAACTTTAAAACAGTTACTATAACTATGCTCAAGGATTTAAAGGAAAATATGAAAATGAGAGAAATAGAAGATATGAAAAATTCACTAGATGGGCTTAACATATTAGAGACTACAGAAGAAAGTAACACTGAACCTGAAGACAGCAATATAAACTATCCAAAATGAAGCAAAGAGAGAAAAACAAACTGCTTAATGATCTGTGGGATATCAAGCATATATATAATTAGAGTTCCAAACAACAAGGTGGAAAAGGACAGAAAATATATTTGAAGAAATAAAGGCCAAAATTTTTCCAAATGTGATAAAAACTACAAACAACTGTAATAGATTATCTTTTTCAAAGATGGCCAATACAAGATCTCCCATTTCACATGCTCTTCTTAAAATGTGACCTTGCCATTCCTCTCATCAAGTGGTGAGGTCCATGTTCCCTCACCTTGAACTTGGGAAGAACTTTGTGACTGCCTGACCAATAAAGTACAAAAGAAGTAACACTACATGATTTCCAAAACTAAGTTATAAAAATACAATGCACCTTTCTGCCTTGCTTTCTTGAGATGCTCACTCTTGGAACCTGGCCACCATGCTATAAGGAAGCCCAAGCAGGCACATGGCTCTCTCAATTTTATGAGAGACACATCCTAGTTATGTAAAATAATGTGAGTTAGTATGCCAACAAGTATTTGAGCACCTATATGCTAGGTACTGGGAATAAAGCAATGAACAAAACAGACTGTTTCACCTCTGGTAAAGCTTACAGCTTACGGAAAAAAACAGGCAAACTAATAATAAATAGTTAATTTAAATTACTACAAGTATACTAAGTCCTATAAAGAAGACTTACAGAGGGGCCGGCCCTGTGGTGTAGCGGTTAAGTATGCGTGCTCCGCTGCTGGCGGCCTGGGTTTGGATCCCGGGCACGCACCAATGCACCGCTTGTCAGGCCATGCTGCGTCCCATATAAAGTGGAGGAAGATGGGCACAGATGTTAGCCCAGGGCCAGTCTTCCTCAGCAAAAAGAAGAGGATTGGCGTGGATGTTAGCTCAGGGCTGATCTTTCCTCACAAAAAAAAAAAAAAAGACTTACAGAAAACTACAGATTATCAGAAAACAGTAAGACCTCAATTAGCAAAACATCTGGGAATAAAGCTTTTTACCAAGTTGGCCATACTTAGCAGGAATAGAAGGACGTTCCTTCCTTAGGTCAGAGTGATGTCAAGAGTGATGTTGCCCCAGTTACAGATCTCTTAGAAGACCCATGGCTTCAAGGATCTACATTCATCTCAGTGGAACGTTAACATTCTGAGTGAGAACAGATCATCTGGAACTGAGAGGGGCCCAGGTACAAGGTCCTTCAGCAGATTATCCCTACCTCAAAATAAAGGCAGTCCCTGTGTGTACCTTACACAGTATAAGCCTGTCTAATAGGCACAGGGTTCCTACAAGGACCAAACCCTCAGTAAGCCATAGCTTTATTAACAATTCTTACCCTATAAGAATGCCCTGAAGAACCTAACCTCCAGAAACACATTCCCTCCAAACCAAAGAATATCTAGTTGATATATCACATTCATGGTCCCATCAAGTTTTCTTCTTTCAGAGTGGTAGGCAGAAAAACTGACTTCCTACAACTATGGAGCTCCTGCTATTGTTATCACAGGCATCCCCTATAATGTGTTTCTACAGAAAATGATGCTTTTTGGGGCAGCGGGGGTGGGGGGTGTGTGCTGCAAGTCATCCCAAAAGTGTGACCCTTTCTTATACTCCACAACGCTATTATCAAAGCAGATCTGAGAGCATATACTTCACCCCTCTTACTATTAGAAAACGTTTTCATGCCTCCACAGCATTTAAATTCAGCTTAGCCCTCATTCCATCTTGATCTTTTCTGATAATTTATCTGCAAATTTGTCTTAAAGTTCTGCTTTCAAACCAATTTAATTCTCTTTTTTAATGATTCATAGGGCCTTCAAGTCCAGTACATAATTTGATCCAACTTCCTTTCTTCATAATGGTCACTATGGTCTTGAATTTGTACATGAAGTTTCACTTTCCATCTAAACTGACATAACTTTGAAATACATGAATGTGTGTATTTAATTATTTTTGCCATGCTACCTCTTCCTTTATGCTTCCCAGGGCTCATACTCATCTCTTCCCACATCTGGAGTCACAACAGCATCATCACCAAGTCCCCACTTCTGTCTTAGTCTCTCGTAGCCTTAATTTGATGACATTTTGGACAAAGACCTTTTCCAATCAGTCATTATCATGCCTCATAGAGTCAGGCTAAAAGGATGATTGCTACCTAATAAGGATGCCCTAAGAAGGATTGTTTAAGGAGTCTGACCATGAAAAGCTGTCAGGATTCTCCTCATCTCCAACAATTTAAGTCAGCTCTGTTGAATTAGTAGCAAAGTTTTCACCCAAAATTTGCTTCACACTCTCCAAACCTGCAAAACAAATAACACACTACCCTAGTTCAGGATTTCATAAACTCTTGCCTAGTTCTAGGCTATTACAGTAGTCTCTTAACTGGTCAGGCCCCCATTCACTACCTATTTCAATTTAGGCCCACACCCAACATCTACATTAATCTTCTTAAAGCACAACTGTGATCATACCATCTTGTTCTGTCAATAGTCTTCTGCTACCTGTAGCATAAAAGGTAGACTCTTGGACTGCACACATTGATATGATTCTAGTTTACCTTTTTCCTCCATTACCGAAACCCTTCATGCACCCTGCAACATAATTAGCTAGATGCCAGTCCCTATATGTCCTCCATCTTCCTCATGTCTGTGGCTCACACAGAAGGGCCTTTTTCACACCCAACTCTGAAATTCTACATATTCTTCAGCTTAGCCCCAAGCATTCCTGATTCCC